AGAATTTTATTGGCCACTATGCACCAAGTTATAGGGGTGATGACAGGTATATACAAGTTGCACAGTGAATGCTTCCTTGTGACTGCAGCGCAGTAGTAAGAAAAACAACAAATGCGTGGGGGATAACAGGTAAAACGGTATGGGATGCAGACAGAATCACACAGGTAAACAAATATAGTGGTAAATATAAAATAAAGAAAAAATAATAAAAAAATAAAAATATGAGCACTGTGAATGTAGGAACGAGGGTATTAAAGTATAAGAAGCTGTAACTCCAAGTGTTAAAACTTAAAAGGGGGGTAGCTCGAATATCGAATATACACACACATTTACAGTATTGAAAGCAGCTATGTGAGTAAAGTACAGTGGTGCAGTGTTTTTTTTTGTGTGTGTGTGTGTGCAAAAATATCAGCTATAATCAAAAATCAATATCACTATTACTCAGTATTGGTCGGGCTGTAGATCACTCTATATTTTGCATTTGATTCTGCTGTTAACATCATTATGTACTTGCTCCTATGTCCCAGAACTTGACCCGGCTCTACCTGGACAAGGCGACTTTAGTGTGGAATGGGAATGCAGTGTCAGGACAGGATGCTCTGGGCGAGTTTTTTGAGTCTCTGCCATCAAGCGAGTTCCAAGTTCAAACCCTGGATTGTCAGCCAGTTCACGGTGAGTGGGTCAATCTCAAGTCCGATTGATGATTCTCATCTGTGTCGCCCAGAGTGGATTATTGTGTGTAGGTGATGCAGAGCATTACATGTCAAGCATTTTATGGTAAATAGTGATAAAATATCTAGGCCAGGTCTATAATGTAATTGTAATGTTCTTCTACTTAAGGCATGTTAAACCACTATCAATCTACCCTTTCTTCTTTCACAGAACAAGCCACCCAAGGCCAGACCACACTGCTTGTGGTGACTGGTGGGACAGTCAAGTTTGAAGGGAACAAACAGCGTTTCTTCAACCAGAACTTTCTTTTGACCGCTCAGGCCTCACCCAACAATGATCAGCCTGTTTGGAAGATTGCTAGTGACTGTTTCAGATTTCAAGACTGGAATAGCTGAGGCCTTTTTCCATCTCTGCTTTGAAAATAAGATGATGTGTTTATCCCTATGCTTTTGTAATAAAATCAAAAATGTCATAAAACACTGAATAGGAAATAAAATTTTTATTCTCAAAAATGTCAAACAAGGCAAGTGCTCATAATGATGGCATAATAAATACAAATAGGATCACTAAACAACCAACTGTAAAGTGACTCATCGTCTGCGTCCTTTAAAGTTTTAATGTTTCATATCCATCAACACAACACTTTGAAAAACACATAGAAAACACTCCTATTAAAATGAACAAACTGAACTTTAGATAACTTTTGATACCAAATTGTACATTAACCTGTTAACTGAGGTAAAATATGCACAGTATTACAGTATGCCAGTTGGGACTAGCTAATGCTAATAAGCATTGTATTAGCAGTTAAGCATGCTTGCTCCTAAATAAATAAGGTGCCAACAAGAATTTTGACAGAAGTACTTTCTATACGAGCAACCCACTACTTGACAATTTCATATATTAAAACATTTACTTATCTTCCTGAGTCATTAATGTTTACACATTTTGGTCTTACTTTCTGAATAAACTGACAAGGTGAAAAACTCATAAATAAAACATCAAGTCAGGGGGAAAAAAGGAATAAGCTGACATGATCATGTGTAACTTTTTCTCTTTATGATCCATGTCGGTGTATCTCGGTGAGGATATTTTGCCTAAAGCCTCAAGTAAACTTTACATGGCAATTTAGCCATTTTTGTAACAAAAGCGTAAACTATGTTTTTTGATCTAGATGTCACTTAACTTCTGCTTGACTACACAAGTACTGCAGACTGAAGGCACAGTAACATCAGTACTCCAACTTTACAAAAGAGCATTACAAGCTTCCATGATGAACAGTTACTATTTTCAATGGAAGTTACAACAAAGCATCAGCAACATATGAAGGACAGTGGTACTTTTATCAGCTACAAACTGAGTGGCAATAGATTGAAGTGGAGTGCTGTGCTGTAATGGTCTCTGACCCTTTTCATTGAATGCGAGTTGCCATTTGAGTGCACCTCTTTGACAATCAAAACCTCTACACACAAGAATAAAAAGCAGCACATATGGAACAACAGCTACAACTATCTACAGCCTCAGCATTTTTTGCTCAAGACATTTTTATTTGGACCTGTGGTTCACAACAGCATGAAAATCCAATTGGGTACCAGGTAGATTATTTACAGACGAAAACAGTGGTTATGGTGAGACCGGGAACTCGTGGGTGAAACTGGCGAAGTTATTTTCCCCCATACATTCTCTCTATGTGGTGGAGATAGTGGTTCTTCAGCTCTTTCCTCTTCAGCTTGAACGCATCTGTGACGAGACCTGTCTCGGGGGTCCACGGCTCTGGACTCAGATGCACCTTCACTGGGATCTCAAATCGCTGAAGTTTAACTATATGAATGAAAAGTGAAGAGAAAGAGACAGGTTAAGTACAGTACAATTTAAAATGTGCTTTTTTCTGCAAAATATTGGCACATAACATGCAGAAAGAACATGTATGGGTGGAGATGAGGACAGGAGTAAGTAATAGTCATAAAAGGATTAGTACGGCCATATCACAATATCGTGAAAAGACATGGACAACTCTTACGGTTAAAAGCAACCTCCTTGATCTCCTTCAGAACCGCTCTTTCCATGTCGGGGTGAGTGCAGATCTCCTCCAATGCTCCCACTATGCCTCTCTGTTTGGCCATTTCTGTCAACCTTTTCTGATTGGGAACCACAAAGCTGATCACGTAGTTCTGTTCACTGCAGGGATGAACATTAGAAACAAGGTTAATAAAGGGCTAAAGTAATTGGGGAAATTTGAAATAGCTGAAGAGGCATTCTAAACACAAAACAGACATGTGAAATAGTATTTAAAACTCTGAAAGATATCATATATATGGAAGAAGCTTTTCCTAAATAAATTAAGACTTACCTGTTTGCGTACGCGCAGATGTTGTCTATGAGAGAGCAGGTTTTCAGAGCAGACTCGACCTTACCGAGGGACACATACTCCCCGGCCTGCAGTTTGACCAAGTCTTTCTTTCGGTCTAAATGAGAATATAAAAATCTGTTCACAATAGTTCTCTGTTATCAAGAACACACCATTTTCCTGTCAGAAGTTACAACTACATTGACTGCAAATCAGTGCTATGAAATTGAGTATGAATGGTGTGCTTTCAGATGCTTTCCATCAGATGACAGCCATGGGCCTAAGTAAAGTGTAACCACTTTGACAAAATTTATACATACCCACTATTTGTAGACAGCCGTCCGGGTAAATCTCTCCAACATCTCCGGTGCAGAACCATCTCTGACCATTTTCATCTGCAAAAAAGTCCTGATTGTTGCTTTCATTCCTGTAGTAACCCATGGTTACATTGGGACCGCCAATCAGGATTTCTCCCCTTGGGTTTGGTTTGTCTTTGCTCGTGTAGCCACCTGAGAAAATTGGCAAATTAAGTTGTAAAATAACACATAATTATCCTGTACTTAAAAAAAAATACTTTTCAGTCTGCATTGTAAGTACCAGTACAGCATGTACCAACATGTTTTTCAGCCATACCTTCAGCCCAATCCCTAAGTCTGATCTCACAGCACAGAAGCGGAGCTCCAACACGGCCAGTGCTGATGTCTGCAACTGTATAAGAAGACACAATTTTTTAATGACATAGTTAATCATTCTCAGCCCAACACTTTCTACTCTACACTTTAAATCTCTTCTTACCCTCTGTGATGGTGCCTGCTCCACAGGTTTCAGTAAGGCCATAGCCCTGGCCCACTGGACAACAGAAACATACATTCATAAATCTCTGAGTGGCTGCGGACAGGGGAGCTCCTCCAGACAGCATCATCCTCACCCCTCCCCCCAGCAGTTTCTTCACTTTCCGGAACAACAGGCTGCAAAGACGGATTGATGCGCGTTTCATTTTAAGTTAAACAAGACAGTCACATTTCTACAGGCACTGGTTTAGAAATAGTGGTTTCTTACGCATTGCAGAGTGGTGCGTCATAGCCTCTCCTGATCTGCTCTAGTTTATATTTGTAGCCCAGTGTAAACAGCTTCTTCTGAATGAAACTCATTTCCTGCACTTTGCTCATCACATTCTTGTTGATGCGGTCCATAATTTCCTTTTAAGAAGAAAAAGGATTAATTTATACATATAAAGATTAGTGGGTTAAAGAAAGAATTTAAAACTGAGTAAACAGAGGAGGAGAAAAACCAGAGAGAAGGAGAACAGAGTAGCGAGTAGTGGAAAGAGGAAAGAATGAAAAGCAGGATTCTTACAGGCACAGCTGCCATCAGGGTGGGTCTGAGCACAGAGCAGTCTCCTTTACTTCCCTTCTTTATCTTAGTGGACTAAAGGGAAAAGATAAAAACAGTTAAAGGCACTGATTACATGAGATAGCAGCAATGATTAAAGTATTGGTAACCACACCTAGGTCTGTTATAAAGAAATATAGCAAACACATTAACAGACTAGGCATAGGGATGGTAATGGAAAGGTCACAATTATCTGTTGGCCAAAATACACCTGCATACACAATATTATTCTAATACTCATGAATATACTGTTCATACTTAAACGCAAATTAATTGCATTACTGATCATCTCATCTCCATGTTCCGCAGATTGGAATCTATACTATCTCCACATTCTTTGGGAGGCATACAACGAGCAAGCCGAGCCTTCAGCCATGGTGACAGACTTAGAATTTTGGAATGACTGGAAAGATGCAGGCTCCCCCATGTCCAAAATAAATTAGGAAATCAATACAGGTCTGTATGCTGGTGAGCTACACAGCCATGTCCATGTGAGGATATTCATGATTATCACAGTTTTGGAAATTCAAGTATTTTTTTAATCACAATAATATTGCATATCGTCCCATGCCTAGACACAACATAGCCGGCTGCTGGTGCTCCGTATTACCTGGTCTGAGAGTGTCTGGGGGGATGAGTAGCCGATGCGACAGCCATATGTGATACAGGAGATTTCCGCTGTCATTTCCAGAACATGAGCCAGGGGCAGATAGGCTATGTAAGTATCATTAGGCCTGTCAGAACCCAAGTAGAGAAAGCGAAGGTTAGGGTACATGTTTTCTGTTCCTCTTGCAATTTTTCTGGCTGAGCATGTGTGGTTCTGTGGTTCAAAGATTCTAACATAAAAAGCACACTCGCAAAAATGCACCATCCACCTCCTTACACTGATAGTTAGTTGCAAGTGGTGGTTATTTCACTGCCAGAAGCCTGTCTCAGCACAAATTTATGTGGAAAAATCTACCTTAAATTCTAAGATGTGCTACTCAGTAAGATCTTTGAAGTTGTGGTAAGAATGCTCCAAAAAACCCTGCTATGTACATTATATTATACTCAATCATTTATAAAGACCAATACTGAAACTGACCCGAGTCCAGGGATGCGTTCACACTGGCCAGTCATTCCTGCAATTATGTTACTGTGGACAATCATGACTCCCTTGGGTCTGCCTGTAGAGCCACTGGTGTACATTACCACAGCCAGATCAGAGGGCTGGGGCTTCACGATTGCCCTGCTCACTGCAAGACAAACAAACACTTATTGTCTTGTACTGTATGGGTGAGGTTTTTCACCCCCGAATGTGACAAAGAAGCACAACCAAGGTGAGTAAGAGAAATACACACTATTCTCAGGCAGAGCGCCCAGCTCTCGTACAGCCTGCATGCTGTGGAAGGATAGTCCTGCTGGGTAGCCTTCTGTGCTCACTTTCTTCTGGTCCACGTAGATCACATGCTTCAGTTTTGGGATCTGTGAAAGCACTTTCTGGATGGAAAGAGAGGACAACGCTGCTATAACAACACGATACCCAATCACATGATTTCCTTTTATAAATAAGAAGGATTTCTAACTCCATATTCACTGCCATAATAGTTATAATGGGCAGAAGCTTGAACTACAGAATAAAACAAAACATCCAACCGTTGGAAATTAGGAATCCATAATGTTTGTTTGAGAAGTTTTCATATTCAAATAAATAATTTTACTACATTTCAGTTAATTTCCTTTTGATCTTAATTTGATTATGGCTTCTGGGGAAATGCAAAGATTTTACTCAAATTAAAACATTCTCCATTTCTCACTCCACATTTTCTTGTACCTAATTTTAAAATGGCCTGACAAGCATAACATACGAAGCCACACCAACTATGCAGAAGCTAAGTGTAGCTATACAATAAGACTGAACGTCATTAATTTATTCACAGCCTATGGTGTGTTTCTCAACAAATACTGTGTTCATTCATTCAACCATGTGACTGCAGGCAATACACTTTTTTTCTGGATTCTCCATACCAGCTTTGATGTTTGTGATGTGAAATTATCTATTTAGTCTCAAATGGTCATCTCATGATGATTATTAGGGCTACTTGTAAAGACAGACAAGATGTTTTGTCCACCACCACAGCTTGATCATTGCTTCTCCTGAAAATCAGAGTAAGCTGTTCTGATTATGTGCCGTACGCGACTAACTCACTTTCAGTTTGGTCTCAATCAGCTCCGCGCTGGTAACTAGATGTGTAACTCCAGTCTCGTTCAGTCCATATGCAATTGCCTCCTCACCCAGAGTGGCATAGAATGTCACCACTGTAATGAATACAAAGTGCAAAAACAGTAGTTAGTACATTATTCACACTTTGTTAGATAACATGTAGTACTATACTGTACATACTGTAATATACTTACATGGGAAATTGCGCCTGAAGCAAGCCTGGGCAGTGATCATCCACTCTGCTCTGGTTTCACAAAAGATTGCAATACTGCTTTTGGGCTGCTGCCCCAGAGCTGCCAATCCACTGCCAAACTCACTGGCTATAGCGTCCAGGTCATTGTAGGAAAGCCATCTATACTCTCCCAGGATCAGCTAATAGGAGAAAGAGTCATTTGCAAAATCAGACTTCTTTGTCCTTACAAACATCCCTCCCCAAAAACTATATTATAGCGATGGGAATCCTTACCTTTTTAAATACTTTACCGCTGGGTTGAATCTCATCTTCTTTGCTCAGTATATCTCGGGTGCCTAGACAATGTGCTTGTCCAAAACGCTGCACAGCATGCTCGAACAGTTTATCCAGTGTGTCCTTGCCTGGGAAGTCCTCCCTAGCCAGAGAATCAAAGTGGTCCACAGAGCGGTACGGTCCCTCTGCACGGCCTGAAGTGGAACGGGCCTTTATCCGCTTGGACAGAGCTTTTCTCTGGCCGGCACCAGTGATGTAGTACCAGGGCAGGAAGGTCAGGACGGAGTACAGCCATACCAGAAGGTGGATTGGAAAGAAGAGGATAGATTGGAGGGTAGAGTCTGACTGGAAACCCATGCTGTTGTCTGGAAGTGAACTGAGCAACAGTGGTCAGACTAGTTTAAAATAGGGTCCTGGTCCAAAAGATGAAGTGTGTAAGGACGATTGCCTCAGAAAGAGAAAAGCCTAGTAGTAGACACTTAACAATCCCACAACGGTAGAATGAAAATATTTAGTCCACCGTCTCTCGATGTTACACCTAGAGTTGGAATAAAACAGAACATACCATCAGAAAAACCTTTATCATGTGAAATGACAAAAACAAAAAAAATCTTTTTTACAAATCAAGTCAGAGCAAAATAGTCAGATTTGATTTTAACAGTCACATAATGTAACATCTGGAAGAGGAAGTTGACACAGAAAAAAACAGTACCCAGACAAAACGATGGGTTAAGATGCAACGTCAGCTACTAACTAAAAATTGATCCACCATCTGTATCTGAACGTCTTTTAAAACCAACCCCCTGATAACCGCCTTACACCCAGGAGGACTGTGCAATGCTGGAACTACACCCAGTACTCATATTTGACTCACCTCTTTCCCAACAGCCTCTGTACATCTGTCAGCTTTTAAAGCTAAATTATATAGGAGACCTCTTTGGAGAGTGTGTTTCAACAATCCACATTCCCTCCCTCGTAGAGTACCACCCCCCTGTATGCCTCTCAACAATAAAGGGAAGGTTATCTGAGAGGTGATGGAGGGGAAGCAGGGCTGAGACCAGCTGGCCACATCCAATGACCACAGCTCTATGAGTTGTGCTGAAGAGGATCGAGCTACGGACAACCAATGACGATACTCTTGAAGCTCACCCCACTCGGTGGTGAGGGAAAGGTCACTCTAGGGCAAGCTCTGTTTGCTAATAACATCACACGTCAGGGCAGGAAGGATGAAGGAGTTTAAACTGACCAAACATGTCATATGTGACCTACTTTCATGTCACAAAACAGTAATAGAAAGATATGGACTTATACAACAGTAGATAGGAAAAGAAACTTCTGGTGATGGGTATTGAAATGACTGTATCTACTAAGCTACCTTATCTAAGTTAAGATAAATACAATGTCAGTAATGTACTCATGTAACCAGCACTCCCTTATCCTGAAGACCTTAACTTAACACAGTGTGATTCACATTTCTGTGAATCATAGCTGATCTACGTCATACCTCTGCTGTATGTCTCAAACATGGCCATACTCCAGAGGGTAAATAAAGACTGAGATGCTCCGTTTGTCTGCCAGTACATTCACCATGGGGGTTTCAGTTCCACAGTAGTGAACGAGCAACAGTGTGTGTGTGTACTGACAGCATTTACTGTTATTAAAGCATACACTCACCTAGTCCAGTCACCTTTTGTTTTATTTTCGACTTAACAGAACATTCAAATAACTTAATTTGCAAAGCCTTTATGGCAGGCAAACAAGAATGCCTGGAGTAAAGGCAAATACTCTGGCACATCCATCCCTAAATGAAGATGGTGTGATAAAACCATCCTGATGTGTCAGATGGCCAAATAGTGCACCCATCACGTATTCATTAATTAGTGATTTCCATGGTAACATAACATTATTTAGCCATTTTGGACGGATATTGTTAATGTAACCCATATACATTACACTTATAGCCCAAATTCAGACTCAGCTTCTTACAGTAACATGTTAGGGAAAAAAAAAAAAACACCTTCAAAACACAAAAAGCTGCATTTAACTTAAATGAAAGCCACCAAATAATAACGCATCTGAACTCTCTTAAAACATAAGATGAGCTGCGGTGATAAGACAATGGGTGCGGAGCAGGATGGCGGGCCGGAGGATGACAAAAGCCGCAACCCGCTGCCGGTTACAGCGTGTTATTGAGCAAGGTTCCGGCAAGTTGATCAACGTTAGCTACAGAAAGGATGTTAGCTGGAAAAAAAAACCCAAAAACCCAAAAACCCAAAAACACTGCCCACACATACATGGGCGAAGCCCGGAGCGGTAAGATCTACAACAAGGGATAGAAGAGCGGGTTAATGGGATTACAAGCCGGCCGAGCTACAGAGCGATACCTGCTTAACCGGCGGGCAGGGCCTTGAGACAGTGCTTACCTTCAGCAGCGGTGAAAAACCGCGGTCGGTCCGGTGCGCGCACGTGCTACCCCAGAAGTATGATGCCGAAAGTTATCTCTCCCGGTAGCCGGAACGCCGGGAGAGCTCTTACGTCATCTGGATTCACATATTTCTTGGACCAACATGAGACAAAGCGCTGCGATTCTGCCGCTTCGTGGTTTCTTCTTTTTCTTTTTTTGTACCCCCTCTTACGCTTCAGGGATGAAAAGAGTACCGGGCCTGTGTTACAGGAAATGAGAATGACGCGCCCACGTGTCTCTCCAGCTGTGTGTATTGAGCAGTTGGCAGGTTCGTGGTGGTAGTTTGTCTCGTTTTGCCTGCGTGCTTCCAGCATTTATCTTGTACCTTTGTTTAGCTTAGCAAATTAAATTCTTAATAAATAAGCAACCATGGTGTTGACAGTGTACGCATGCGTGAGGGGTGTGCGTGTGCGCGAGGAGTAAGCAGAGTGAGTGCCTGCGCGTTGTGGAAGGTTGTATCTTCCTGAGGATCGCGAGTGTTCTCTGGATAGGATAGAGAAATGATAGATATGTCTGTAGTTTAGGAGGTGAGTTGGGTATCTGCCGTGAAGTAGGGAATGTCAAGGGCAGGTGGCCAGTGGCAGTACAAGAGTCGGAGGTGAGGAGGTTGACACATAGCATTAAACATTACATTAAAATATAATTAGAGAAAATGAAATTACAAAATGTAGAAATAGAAGTTAACGTTAACAACAGTAGCCACGCAGTAAAGCAGTGCAGATGGAGATGCAGATGGATGTTCAGAGTCAATCAAACTGGTTTCTATATATGACTATTATATTAGAAGTACTAAGTATGTATAGTATATTATTATGTGGTCCGGGGCTATTTTGTGTGTGTGCGTGTGTGTGTGTCTTCTATCACACCTTTGTTACAACCTTGAATCTCAGTTTATCAGGCTCAATTTGTTCAAAAACAAATTATAAACATCCCACCAAATCAATTCATTAACACAGTGGCCCCACTGCGCTCAGGTCGATGTCGCCCTCAGGTGGTTGGGAAATGGGAGTCACTTCCTCATAGGAATCGGAAACGAACTGCAAGCCTATGTTGAAACACATAGTAGTTTTGATTGTATCATTTCAAATTAATTGTTTTAATTAAACACATTTTACCAATATTAATAATACAATTAAGCAATGTTCTTTATTTCTATTGTTTATATTTTTCAGTTGAATTAGAAGCTCAAGAACCTTCCTCCTCCAAACTGATATTTCCGAACCAAATAGCTATAAAAATAAATTAAAAAAACTATAATTTCAAATGATGGCTGTTCGAACTAACAGCAAAAGCTAATTATCTGTTATAATAATAATAATAATAATAATAACTAACAGGACAACTCTTCATTTGTTCTTTATATGTCCTTTAATTTCCTCAAACATCTTTATCATCAAAACCAATGCACCACGATGAGGCATCACCCAAGAGATGGGGTTAAGGAATAACATCACAATAACGTTACAGGTAACACAATAAATGATCAAACTACCTCAAAACCCGACCAAAATAAAACGGATTTTTAAAAAAAATGACACTAAATGAGTAATAAATAAATAGGTAAATAAAATAGGACAGGACGTGTGCACCACCTCCTTATGGAAAAAATAAGCACATATTCCTGGAGATGACACACAATCCCTTCATTGATGTTGAAATAGATGTGAAGCGGCTGTAACGAGCTCTACGTGCACACCCTGTTCCCCACGTTGACACGCCTGTAGGGGGCAGTGTTGTCCAGTGAGCAACGAGGTGGAGATGCGCGTGTTTTGGGGAACAAGAGCAGCCTTGGACAGCAGTGTTATCAGTGTTCCCCTCTGTCATTTCACGGTCAGGTGTTTTACCCCATTCACCCCAAATAACACATGATACCGTATGGCCACATGAGAGGAGGGATGAAGATGAAGCTTGATGATGAGAGAGAATCATCTTCACCTTTTAACAGGTAACCTTTACCTGCACATCTATTCCTCACTAGGGACTTCTGAGCAATGGGGAACCTTGCAAAAGCTCAGGTTAGAAGTGAATTTTGAGTTCATATATAATGCAAAAAAACCCCATTCTTTGTAAATTATTAATCGTAAAAAAAAAAAGATTTCTCTTATGAATAACTAATTAGTAAACATGTCATTCAATCGGATCTGTGCACTCATGTTTGTGTACTTCTCATCACAATCAAAAACTGTCTGTCGCACCTCATCGGTAACCCCGCCCCCGCAGGGTGTCTTTTACAATGAAACATTCGCACCACCACATAGCCGTTGCCCCACGTGTCTCATGGCTGTTGTACAAAAACATCACGAGTGGCTGCTTCAGCTGTGGGTGCTACATATACAGCACATGGTCGCGTTTGATAGCTGCTCGCAGCGACGGACACAACCGGGCCCCAAACTCAAACTGTTTCAACTCTTAGTTTGCACGTTAAAGTAGTGAAACTTCTTACTTCTGGTAACTGTTACATGTTTGAAACACTTTGAAGTCATTTGTCTTTGTTCAGGAGCGTTATATAGCGAGTTTGAGGACATTTAAAAAAACTTTTATAGTACTCCGCCTGCAGCAGAAGCGAGCATGTCGACCGGCACAAAGGAAGTTAAAAGCTGCCCCATCCCCACCAGGGTGCTCACCCTGAAGGACTGGTCCCAGCTACCCGACTGTTACAGCCAGACACCCGGGGGGACCCTCTTCTCCACCACGCCTGGAGGTAAGGACTCTCAAAACAAACAAACAAACAAACAAACATTTGGAGTGCTACGATTTCTCTCTGGATAACATTGTTTCATGCTTAGTCGTCTTTGTTAATGCGTTTCTACGATAACAAGAAAAGTTGGCTACTTCCAGAAAGTTAGCTGTAACTCAACAGTTTGTGCATACGTGCAAATACTCATCGCTCATGGATAAGCTCTCGCGAGAAGATGCAAACAATACGGGCTCACTTGCACAAAACAGCGGATAAAGGCCAAGTATTGGGATTAAAAGGTTATTTACACCGCCCAAACATCATACAAAACATAAACAAATGTGAGAAAAGGGTGAAGCTGGATACATGCTTTGTGGCTCACGCTCTCAGCTGGCTGCAGCCCTCGCGTTGTCAACATGTTTGTTGATTTGATAAAGTGAACCAAACGATGAAATCATGAAATACTTTTGCACCGTAGGTAGTGTAAGCTTCTATTTATACTCGAATCAATACTGTATAGGGACACGTTTATGTATTGCATTGCTGATTGCAGAACAGTAGTAACTTTGACTTGCATAAAATATATATGCACAAACATACAGTTTGGTATAAACACGCCACATAAAAATGTTTTGAATTTGACCCTTTTCACACACTTTTGCTGCATCACAAACACTGACGTCTAAGACAACAAGAGCTGTCTAACCCGTGACTTGTGATTAAAAGAGGGAGTACGTGAGCAGCTGCCAGAACAGCAAAGTGATTGGCCTCTGCAGTGGAGGAGTTGGACAGCGTCCTATCCCCGCTGCTCTCTGCTTTTGCGTTTCAGGAACGGTAGAGAACATTCTGTACAAGTTGAGAGGAGGAGGGAAAGGAAGTGTGTAATGCATATATTTTTTGTCAATATGTGTTAAAATTGGCAGCATAGGAAATTGCAATGCAGAGTTTTAACTTGTATTCCACTTTTGGTGCAACACATTTTGCCCTACTGGGCTCATGCCATGTTGTTGTACTGACCCCTTCTTTTATGTAACTGCTCTGTATTCTAGTACTGCCTTGCAATGCATTGCTTGCACTATAGTTAGGATTCCAGCCCCCTTTCCTCGCCACAATTCTTTCTCTCCCCACCTCTGCTTTGGTTCTCTTTGTCCATGATGAACTGCAGTTATTGCATAACATGTTTTCCTTGTAGAGCAGCTGAGCAGATACTGTACAGAACGGTTCAAACTCCAATAAAGAAGCAGCAAACCATTCCTTCACTCGGTCATGTCCTGGTCAAACTTATCACGCGATGCCGTTTATGACACTGTTTTTGTTTGAAGTTTGGCCTGTGTCCAAATGGTGACAGACATGAGACATGCCAAGTAGATTTTTAGACGTGGCAAGCTGCAGGGTTTGTATGGATCTTTAAGCTTAAATCACAGCTTTGAGAAAAGCCATCCTTGGATACATACGTAAGCATTTTGCATCTGCCGTCAATGTTAAAGCTCTCACTCGGTCAAAGACCAAAACATGTGGCTTTAATCCCAAGGCCTCGTTCTTGAAAGGCAGAATGTTTTGTACTCTGACTTCCTAGAACTCATTGCAGGGGCAGCCTACATCCCTCCCCTCTGCGCACACAGAACTCTTCTTTTCCCACCCAAATCCCCTCTTGTAGAGGATAATCGTACGTAATTCTGTACGTAGGTGCTCTTGTAATAACTAGGCTTTCTTTTGATCCTGTAATATTCCAGCTTTTGGTCTGTTGTGTATGTCGGTGCATTTACTTCACTTCCTTTTAGGAAGTCAGATTTGATGTTTGTATTAAAAGATTTTCTTTTCTTTTTTTCCTTCTCTTTCTTTCTCTAACACAGGTACCCGCATCATCTATGACAGGAAGTTTCTATTGGATTGTCGAAACTCTCCTCTTGCTCGGACCCCCCCATGCTGTCTGCCCCAGATCCCAGGGGTAACAGTACCTGCTACACACCCCATGGGGAAATTGCAGGATCTCAAAGAGGAGGCTGAGGAGGAAGAGAAGGACATTGCAGGTAAACATACCACTCCTTAGTTCTTGTTTTCCCTGAGCTTGACTAGTTTTATAGAGGGGAGTAACTTTACAGGTAATGCACACATTCCCATGTTCCTGTCTGCCAACACACACAGACATCTGTATCATAACTCATCCAAAATATTTTAACTAAATGAGAAAACATACATGCTTTGCGGTTTTATGAATCAAAGTATTCCTCACAATGCACAATGTTGTAGCCTTATCTAATGAGGCACAGAATGCTTTTGAAGCTTAATGTGGGGTTCTTGTGAACTTTCAACCCTTTTTGTTTCCACAGTGAGTTGTCATTTTACGTTGTCATGAGTACTCAGCATGTGCTAATACAGCAGATAGGTGCAGCATGTGTTCTTGCAGTGTTATGCCTGCATTTTTGCAGCACAGTAGTTGTGCTGTGTTGAGGACTGGGACAGCAGTGCTCAGTCATTATCGTCATGTGTGAGTTTAGTGCCTTCATGGGAATATCAAGCTTTTAAAACTTGCTAGTGGGAATAATCAGTATATATTCCATACTGTGTAAGATAAATCTGTCAGGCTGATGGTGTCAGCTGTTAGTTAGTTGTTGCTGAGGGCTTAAGAAAGATATCAACATTTACTAAGCAAATATACAGTTTTACTGAATTTCTGTATATCATTATAACCCTTCTCCAGAGGATATAATGACTTATGGAGATAAAAGACGTCATATTGGCAATGATTCTCTTGTGGGGCTTTTTGTGGCAGCATGACTGAGGCTTTGGGCTTGTGGGCAGGTTCCGACAGCTATTTATTATTGAGCGAAATATATCCAACCATCAATTTGTTCCTCTCCATTCCTTCTGTCAAACTAAAGACCGTGGGGATCCTGTGTCTGGGTTCGTAAACACACAGGACATGTCATGGGGTTTGGATTTGCAAGCTACACCCTTTAATTTAGTCTACCGTTTTATTTTTTGCCAGTTATGCATGTATTGATAAGGTCTGTACTTTGTCATCTTTTCTGTAGTCCGTTAAGGTGTGGTTGTGCTTAGAGTGCATAAACAAACGTCAGCTGCCAGCTGATTGTCAAATATCTCCCTTTAATCTTTAACTGTTTCTTCTGTTTGTCCTTTTCAACAGATGACAACCAGTTTGAGATGGACATCTGAGCTCCAGTATTACCTCCTGTGGAGAGTTATTGGTTAAAACACCTCCAAGGTCATTAATGACTGTATTGCATTACATATAAAGCTTTTTTTCACCTTTTTTAAATAAAAGCTTTTGTGAGGAACCAAAAAGAATAGGGAAAAGTTAGAAAACTATAGGGTGTTTTTGACCCTAATCTGTGTATTAAGCAAAGCAATGGTATTAAATGAGGTGATTGGTTGCTCACTCACTTCAGAGCTGCAGCAGGATTGAAAAAAAATCCTTTTTGATTTCACTTTTTTTTATCTTTTGTAAATAAGAAAATTGTACTATGTAGCCTATTTTTTAAGTTGGGAAATATAAGATGATTACATTACGACATGTAGAGTTTTTCACTGCAGGCATCAGTTTTTTGTTGTATTTCTCCCCCCCCCCCAAAAGAAAGGATAGATAACTTTATTTGTCATAGGCAAACAAGTGTCTCCTAATATTGGGGGTCAGGGCCTACTGAATATCAGCTCCAGCTCTGTTTTGTATGGAGGGAGAGATGAAATGTGAATAATTTCAAATAAAGGCTTTTTGAACTGCCAGCAATGTGTGTTTGTGTTTGTGTGTGTGTGTGTGTGTGTGTGATCACTTGCTATTTTGGGAATTTTAAGGACAGTCTTATTCTTAGTATCTATGATCTGAAGTGTAATAAAATGATTTAATTGTGTAATATTTTCTTCTCTCATAGAGCTTAATACTGACAAAGACCTTAACCATGCACCATATTGACACCCAGTCACAGTAGAACATTTGTAGTGAAAGCTCTATTTCATTCATTATCTTACCTTAATTGTTTTTACTATATTCATAAAATACAGGAGTGTCTCTCAACAGAGTTTGAAGTTTTAAATGTTTATTTCCTGAAATGGAACTTTGGTCCTGGAAGCTTGATACATGTATTTTATAAAAGCATACAGGGAAAATTTGTGGTTGATGTTAATGTGGAAGACCTTGTCTACAACCTTGTACACCTTGTGTAATAGAAAAACACGTGGCCACAGAAACCTACATGTTAAGCAGTTAATGACTTGCATAACTGTCTCATATAGGGTGGTCTGTTTTTCTGCACTGGTGGAGTGAACTCCCCCTTTCACAGGCAGACAGTTGGCCCATCTGTTGAATTGATACATCTAACATCCCGGACTACTTAAATACATATAACTCCAATAAAACTAATGTTGTAGCTAAATATGAAAACTTTTCAGGTATTTTTTTGAACAACAGGAGTAAATTCCAAGTACATCCTTTGCACATGTAACTGAAAGGCTGAAGGCTACTCAGACCCATGTGCAGTGAGTCTGCAGCCTTTCACACTATCAACAGGGTCACGGCTAGGTATGCCTGCTTGTTCCAGACACTGATCTGTAGATTAGGGAGGCTGAATGTAGGAGTAGGCTTGGTCTTAAGGAATGAGGGCAGCTGCAGCCCAAAGGCCAGATATTGAAACCACTCTGCAATGTAAGGGTGGGGTGTGACACCTGCTGGTATTTGACCAGGCAGTTATCTAAAATATGTAATTGTGGATTTTCTGAATATATATGACTTGTATATAAAACAGATGTCATAAATATTTATTTCAGCACTGACGACACCGCAAAATATTGCTGATGTCAAGGTATATCTTCAGTATTGAAGTGAGAACAAATAAGCCGATTCCTATGTGTCATGTGCAAGTTAGTAATGTGGGTCAATCTACTCAGCTGTTATTGTCCCAAGGCCTTGCAGATGTGACTGACAACCACCTTGCATTGCATTTAAGCTAACAACTGACTTTTGGCCAGGAGGCTCTGATTTAGTGTCTTTTTTTATAATAAGAATCAGAGCAGGTTTAAAAATATGCTCACTGTTTGGTCCATTTTGATTCCATAATATTACTGTGTCCTATACAGCAAATACGAAACCCAAATAAAATGTGCCGACTGACCTCCATGTACTGTTTGAACAAGTTTCTGTGTATGTTTGTGCTAGACACACGTGAGAACAAGGCCAGGTACCAGGTGACAGAATGTCACATGCTCCCATCATGCAGTTTTGAAGGATATCCTGTCTGGCAGAGGGGGAGCTATGAAACTGAAAATGATACTCGAATGTACTTCACAAACCCCCACTGTCCTCGGGCATCAACAGACCCACAGTGAAGAGTTTTGAGAATTTACTGATACACAGAATCTGACATAACCATGCCATGTCCTATTCTGGGATGTGCACTAATGTACGATATGTTCAGAAAAAGGGGTGAGGGTAAAGGCAGCTTGATTAGATTTCTTCTACACATTGTCTACAATAAATTATTTTACCTTCATCAATAGGCCTTTTGATCCATCAAGCTTGGAAGTACCAATGAAAATCGATCATGACCAATGTTGACATAAGATACATGATAAGGTAAAGGTGTTGTTGAATTTCTAACTCACTTACTTCTAAATAGCTCTCTCGTGACTGTAAAGACATGGCCTTAGAGGTGACAAATGCACACGTGTCATTGTTTGTTCACTTTGGACAAAAACTCACCAATGTATAGATGCGAAATACACCTCCCTTATCCATCTGCACAATAGCACGACTGCCACTCTTTATTTGTTGTAGAAATAAATTTATTATTATACAGCATGATTACTGGCCACATAAATTTGATGTAAACATAATTTAAAAGCTTTGGATCATACATAATTTCCGTCATGCAGTAAGTGATGGGATTATTATATGAAGACATTTTTGTAGCAGTGGTAATCTGTTTGTAAGAGTGGGAAGTCCTCACGAGTATCACTGGGCATGTGACAGTGACACATAAGCTTGACAGTAAATTTCCAGACAAGGTATCCATCACTGAGCCAAAACTGTCTGCAGCATGTATGTGAGAAGGCTCATTTTATTGTCTAGAAATGTGTTGCATTCTCCAAACCTCCATATTGTGAGCATGACATAAACATATTTCAGAAGTGAAAATTTTAAATAGCCAAAATTTCAAAGCAAAAAGAGAAAGGAGAGAAAAAGAGTATATAGTGCCGTTCAACTGAATCACTTACATTACATTGAAGTAAAATAGTGACCATAAATGTGTAAATGTGACTTAGGGTTCTACTTGCTTGTGGTATAAAATCAATCATGGTTTGATTTGCCATACATCCCTGAAAAGCTGCTTTGGAAAATAACAGCCTTGTATCATTGTAAACAACTTCTCTCCAAACGACCACCACCCGTTTCAATAAACTCGGATAAACTTGCTCCATTGCCCTTTTCCATAAACAAAATATCCCCCCTTTCCATCTCCTTCCCCCTCCTTTACCCCCTGCTCCCCTTCCACTTTCCCTGTAACAGGGTTGGGTAAAGTTGAGAAGGTGGACGAGGCTCTATTTTTGTCATCTGCTCCTGTTGAAGCGGTTGGTATACAGGCTTGGGCTGAATTGCCAGGGTGACGATGTAAACAGACACTCTAACACGCGGCCTGCTTGATCATATCTGTCATGACAGGAGAGGATAGGGACTGAAGTAGACTGCATGTTTGTCTCATGCATTAACACACATTTACAAAACTAAATGTACATTACATTTACGGAAACATTTACATTGCATGAATTCAGCCAACCATTTTACAGACTGACTTTTGTTGAGTACCCCAGTAAAATACTATTCAGTTCCTAGATGACTGCTGTGCTTTGAAATACAATCTGAGGCACACGCTGTTTTTTAGATTACGCTTCATATACGAGCATATTTCATCTTTGTATTAACCTGTGTAGCTCCTGCAGTTAAGGTTTGCTACAAAGAACTGCGTATTTAAAGTCTTAGTGTAGAAAATTACAAGAAATACTACACTGAAAACAAATCTTGGCCTTGTTCTTCACTGCGACAAATATGTTTCAAATGACAATGCAGGATACACTGTGTTGCCCTGTATTTGGCTCAGTCTTAAAGCGTATGATTCCCTTGCTGTTTGTTGCAAAATCTCTGATAGGACAGTCCTAGATCAGACTTTTAATAGCTGCTGCCAGGCTATTGCATAATATGTCCCCAGTAATAGTACCTTTCACCAACATATTTTCCATGCATAACTTTGTTCAAGCTGTAAACATAGTTTAGTGTGTATATGTCATAGGCCAGGTCCTTGTTTCTTTGGGAAACCACTGATCTACAGCTCTTTTTACATAGATTACCAATTGTACACCCATTGTGCAAGCCTCATCACATGTTGCTACAGGGTCTGGTATCACCTTGCAGAATAGAGACCAGTTCCTTTTAAGTTGCACTGTGAATGGCAGCTGTCATGTTGGCTGGCTGCTGGCATGGCACTATATTCATACTGTACTCATGTCATGTCATGTCTGATGGAGGAACTGAGATTATGTTTCACAATCCTGTCTCCCAACTCTACCACCCAATGAATGTGTGTGTGACATATGCATGGCTGTATTTATTTGACAGCTATAGTTACAAGTTGCTTCAGAGATTAATAATATACATTATACAATACATACAATATACATATAGATTGACTACACAAATGTATGTGATATAGCTCCACCTCAACCTGCTTTAAGATTAAGATGCTGCCTATATGTTAATGCAGCAGTAATTAAAATGATCCAATATTGAATAATAATGTAACGCTTACAGATACCATTCTGCTGCATAATGAGTACTTGTATAAATATAAATATATATGATATTATGATATATTTTTCTAATAGTACTGACTTTTTTTTTCTAAAGTAACATGAATGCAAAACTTTTACTTTTGGCATACAGGTATCTTAAGTGCTCCCCATATGAATGAGTATACATTTGGGGGGGGCATTCTCTGAGTGGCATGTGATGCTGCTAATTCAATTTCAAACAACCAAAATAAAAACACTGTGCATTAGCTTACATGATAACACAACAATTTAACAACTCACTGCTTGTTCAAAGGCAAAACAGCAAGAACCTCCACCTCAGAGAATAGACCGTGAATAGGCTGACATCTGCTGGGAGAAAGCCAGTAATGCATCTTACCCAAAGTTTGCTGATATATGAGAAATAAAAATAAAAAGCACTAGGATTTGGTCAAACAAGAGCTCTAAAACATTTGCTAACATTTATACATAATTGCATCGTATTCTAAATTAATATTAGTGCCATGTTTTCTAATAACGTGTCAGAGCTGCCAAGTTTCCATAAGCTTATTAAAATAATCAAATTCCAAGGGCGCGAGCAAATAGGTCACTAATTAATGATTAACGTTTATTGGTAACTCATCTTATGTCATTTTCTCTCCCCGTGTTGAATTCGTCATTGACCGGGTGATGAAGTGCTATTCAATCTTTTATCAAGTCATATGATCAGGAGTCAGTGCCTTTTTCCCTTTTCCACCCCCCGTCCATTCATCGCTCTGGCTTGTGATTGGACGCGGCGAGCAGCGGCCGTGGCAGCAGCCAATCCCGTCTCTCGCTCGGCGACTAGCACCACTCCCCGCGCAGTAGCCTACAAATGACGTCACGTCCCGCAAACGAGATACGCACTGGGTTTCCAGAGACAAGAGAGGGTCGCTCATTGCGGTAAAAAAAAAAAAAAAAAAAAAAAAAAAAAAAAGAGAAAGAGAAATAGTGCTAAACAGTGAGGACAGAAGAGGGTTCTTTCTGAACGCGCATTGCTAAATCACCACACACTGGGACTCTGTTTACTGTAAGGTAAGTGGTCCTCACATGGCCGTAACTCTGGTGTTTTATGTGTTTATGAGCCTAGTCATCATGAACTTAGGGGGGGTGGATAACTGAACAGTGCTATGGGTTGTGGCCTGCAGGTGCCACTTCTATTCGGCCTGTGTA